CACTTTTTTACTAATTACTAAATGAGGCTTCCTGTTGTCTCTTAAAATTCTGAGATCCATGATCCGCTTAGGTTCTTCGTCTTGACACTACAGGATAATTAATAATTTAGGGCTTATTTAATTCAAACTATTTTTGCACCTTCAAAGAAAAGTGGTGTGAAGTCATGTTTTCTTTGAACTCGTCTGGGTTGATGTCTTTATTCGAAGTCAACAATTCGCACCAAAGTTTTCCATCGGCTCCTTTGGAGGCGGCCAGGTTCAGAGACAAACATGACGGATTGCTGAGGCATTCAAAGGTGCAGTCAAAGGTGTCGTACACTGTAAACGTTCCAATTCCAGGGACGTTTAAAAAGCGGTATTTGTCTTTTACAAAAACATCTTGAAGATGAGTTGAGTGGTGCGTTGAATGCGATTCTATTATAATAAAAAATAAAATGTTATGCCATGAAACAGACCATAAATTACTCCAAAAATCGGATAAATTCAAGTGAAAAGTTCAAATAAAAATATATTTCCAAGATATTTTTGTTTGAACTTTGTACCTTTTATTTGAAATTTGTACCTCCTCAAGATTTTGTGTAAATCCTAGACAACTAACTTATCCACGCTTGCTATAATCCAGAGAGCTAAAAGCTTGAACCAGCCGCGTAGTTTTCCACACGTGGCCGGATAAATGGTATCGGATACTCTTTTTTTTAATTTCTAGATACTAAGCGCAAATAAGCTTCAAACTCGTTCTTTTGGGCAAACTTCAGGGTCAATTGGGGTGTCAATATATGAAGTATTGAGGATGAGGTAGCTCTGAAAGATGGCACATCGGGAAACAAATCCTTTTTTAATTTTTACGAATAACTCATCAATTAATTCAATTCAACTTATTCTTGAATATACTCCTAGGTAAAATATTCGAATCTTTTTTTCAATTAAAGGTCTTTCTTTGTGCCTTGTAATTCTCGAAAAATAGTGTTGTGTTTCCCCGTTTTTAACTTAGGGTCTAAGAGCTAGGTTTAAACGGCGTAGTTTGTGAGAATAGAAGAAAGAAGAAGAAGAAGAAGAAGAAGAAGAAGAAGAAGAAGAAGAAGAGGAAGAAGAAGGCAGAAAAGAAGAGTAAGGATGAAATTCCAAACTAACCTTGCGCATATAGTGCTTCAAGTATCTTTGAAGACAACACAAAGAAAAGAAACCGACGAAAAAATGGAGAAAACATTTCAGTGTTGAGAAGTCATTTGGTCCAGAAGAGTAAGTTTTCTTGAACACGCTTATAGCCGGAATATTAACATAGCATAAAATCACCAGCCACTTAATATTTTCCTGTTTCAGATACGATGACAGTGAGTCAAAGTCTTTTCTAGCCAATAACAGCACTGAATTATTAGACACTCAATTATCAAACACGCCACAACCTGGGTGGCCAGTAAACCTATTTCGGCATACCGCAGAGTTGTCTCTTTCTATTATTCTTGCTTCTGGGTATTAGCTCATAATTGTGTTTGAACAGGCCTTATAAGTTGAACACATTTTAACCGAAAACATGCCTCGATATATAGTCCCTTCTAGCCAATTTTAGCAATTTAAAGGTCACTTTCGACAGAAAATGTCTTTGCGCCATCAATTCTTTTTACTCTTGAAGAGGAATAGTGAAGAAACACCCATGTATAATCTGTTTCAAAGCACCTGCTCGAAAACGTAATAAACAAAAATGACAACGTGACTGTTATGACCTGTTATCAAAAATATTCTGCATAACTAACTATAAAGAAAAGAAAAGAATAGAGAAAAAGGTAAAGAGTACAGTTCTGTCACCGACAAAAGCTAAAGAAATGTTCGTCACGGTTTCTGTATCTTATGGAACGGAGATGGCAGATGGTTATTCAAATATTATTTTTTTCATTAGTATGCCTCACCCAATTAAAATTGCACGTGCGTAAAAGTGACTCCTAATTTACACAAAGGAAGTTGAAATTTGTCTTGGTAACTTGTAATAACAAGTCTGCGCTGTTAAAAACCGCGGCAGGATTAGATCAGTCGATAGAGCGCTTGACTGCAATGGGGGATGTCGTGGCTTCGTTTCCTTGGGCCGTACCAATCTCATGGTCTTAAAACAACTGAGAAACAAAGGTGCACTATCGCCTTTGCCCTACAAACGGCTACACCTTCGGGGGACTCGAATGACCAAGTAAAATGGTGGTCCCGTCTTTAATAGCAGAATTAGAAATAATGTCCTCAAGTTGCACTCTCGCGCTAAACACATTGACATTCGAATAAAGTGCGTTTTTTACTATTTAGTAATAATGCATAAACGTCAATATTTGCGCGTTCGTATAAAGTGACAGCTATCTCCACCCCGCTAACGCGGGGACGGTGCGGAGCAGAGAGACTCTCCCCCGACTCTCTTCCCCCTCCCCCCATCCCACAGGTTAGGGGGGTGGAGATGGCAGAGGCCATCGGCCATCGTTTCTTCATCACGTGGTCTTGAAACGAGGGGCTCTGGAATCAGCCCGGATGTCCGAAAATTTCGGACATCCGGTCACGCATGTGCAGAAGTTACAAATATCACTGCTCATGCTCATAACGGAGTTTTGTCCCTCACCGCTCTACTGGGGAGAAAAAAGTTTACTTCCTGAGGTCCCACCAGAGAGTGGCTTCTTTGGGCTGTTTTGAAAAGAAGAAGAAATTAACAAAAACCAGCTGAACACACTGTTGGGTTGCAGAACTGAGACAATTAATCGGCAGATTATCGTCTGAGTTTAATATGTGAGTTCACGTTTGGCGAAAACAAACACTGGGAAAGCAAGATCGCGGAGATCGAAGGTTTCTTGTTTTATGTCCTGCAAATGCAGGACATAAAACTTAAAATTTGAAAACGTCTTTTGAAACGAAACAATTCATAAGTTGTGTTATTAAAGTGGAAAGGAAAATAAAACATATATATATATATATATTCGTTTCACTCCGCTTAGTTGTGTTTTTTGCTATGTTTATTTCCTTTTGAGGTGTCGAATGGTAGGTTTTTATTTTGCCCATGAGCTTTTGTGTGCAACTTGAGTCAACACAACCGAAGGTTTAGGTCAAAACAAATCAATATTAATCATTTTTGCTTTCCCAAACGGGGTAAAACACACGGTACAAACTTTTTCCAGGAGAAGTGACAGCTTACTGGAGGGAGATGATAGTTATCTGAAAAAGTCTCTTACACTTCCATGGACTAGAAAACTGAGTAAATCAAATTCCAGTTCAGTTCTTTCTGCATAACAACCCTAACTTAAACTTTTTTCACTCAGTTTCCTAACCCTAATCATAACACTTGAGGGTCATTTGGTGTTTGTGGTGGCCATTCAGTGTTTTGCGAAAGGGGACGTTTACCTATAAGAGGTTTATCCTCCTAAAGATTTCAGTTATCATCTAGCTAAATACCATCATCGGTACCTGAGAGACGGAGTTGTCAATAATTTTGCTGTCAAACTGAGAAAATCGTGGACGCCTGAGAATTTTCAGGAATGTTGATTGTGTATTGACCAATCACCATAAAGTTCAGGACACATGGGCAAACCTCAAAAGGGTAAGGGGTTATAAGGTTTTTTTTCCGAAAAAGGAGGGGCTTATATCTAAGTGGCTATATAACTGGAATAGAAAAAGCGATTCGAAACAAAATACTTTTTGCATTTACTGGTTTTTAACTAAGCTTCAAAATGTAATAGTAGAAGTTTAGGCGAGGGCTTATAACCAGGAGGGGCATTTTTTCTTGTTTTCTTTGTTTACTTGTCACTATCTGTATGCCCTGGAACAGGTTATCATAAGCTATATAGCTGTACTTTCTTATCTGGAACAGTGAAATGTAGAGTGATATATACTTTACATAGACTGTATGCATTAGAAGACCCCCTTAAGAAGTACACTTTGAGTATTACACAACACAAAAGCATTTTCTTGGGTAGCTGCTCTTCCCGGCGTCATGTTTTGAAAATGGAGTGCAAGGCCTGGTTTGAAATTGGGGATAGAATTTTGGATCAGACCTGAAAAAGGATAGGGAAAATCATATAGTTTGGTCAAACTTTGGCAAGGCAAGAAGCATACTGCATGCAGGGCCAACCTGAATTGATTTTTTGGGGGCAGTACAGTTGTATTGAAACTGAATGTGCTGCTTTGTAGAGTTAAAGTACAATATCTGCTCACAGCTATAATTGTATAATTGTTTACTTCACTTAAAATTGATTATTTTGTGTTATAATATGACGGTTTCAAACTAGGAAAGAGTTTTACCAGAACTGAATCAATGACCAGTGGAAACAAGTTTTAATTTGGCTTGCTTGACCCCATGCAATTAGACCGTATGGAAGATAGGGTGCAATCAGAGAGTGATAAATGGAAATAAGTGTGCTAAAGGGAACAAAATGTCGCAGTTTCGATAATAGCCCAACAGTTCCACTGATTTTTAAAAGAATTGTGTCAATGTGGTTATTCCAAGAACGTTTGTAGTCTATCAGAACCCTTAAATATTTAACAAACTCACTAAACTCTAAGTGTTTATGTTTATTAGCACTAGGATCGTATACATACAATTAAGTTGTAAAGGGGAGTTTCTTTTGGTATGGGCGAAAGAAGACAAGGTAAGATTTTTTAACGTTAAAACTAAGTTTATTTGAGGTAAGCCAAATGAAAACATTTGCCAACTCATCACTTACTATTTTTTCCAGAGTTAAGGTTTTTATGTGAATAGGCTAAATTCGTGTCATCTGCAAAAACTTGAAGATAGAAGCCGAGTCTCGAAGAGCAGGAACAAAGACCATTAATGTACAAGAGAAAGAGTAGCGGGCCTAGCACAGAACCCTGTGGGGCACCGCAAACAATGCTTGAAGAGTCCGAGGTCTGGGGTTCTATGCTAGTAACTTGTCATTTTTTATTTTAGAACAAAAATACGCCTCTCTAGGATATAAAAACAAGAAGTTCAAAAAGTCAAAAAATTGAGATTTTTCCAAAGGGGTTAGTCCATGGTTTTCGTCAAAAATTGGCCATTTTTCCATCTTTTTATTTCAGGCAATATGACCAGAAAAAGAGTTTTAAGATATTCGAGAACGAAAAACAAGAAGTTCAAAAGGCCGAACAATTGAGATTTTTCCGAATAAGTTACTCAGTGCTTTTGGTCAAAAATTTTTCCATTTTCTCATTTTACCCCATATAGGCTAACAAAAATGGGTTTTAAGATTTCCTAGATTCAAAAAACGCTATTCTAGGCTATAAAGACAAGAAGATCAAAAAGTCGAAATACTGAGATTTCTTTAAAGGAATTAGTCCAGGGTTTTGGTAAAAAATTGGCCATATAGGCTAGAAAAATGGGTTTTACGATTTCCTAGATTCAAAAAAGGCCTCTCTGGGCGATAACAACAAGAAGTCCAAACAGTCAAAAAATTGAGATTTTTACAAAAATTCTGAGTCCATTGTTTTGGTCAAAAATTGGCCATTTTTCCTTTCATTCTCTTTTTGGCCATATAGGCCAAGGCAATGTGTTTTACAATATTTATGAAGGAAAAAAAAGTCTTTCTAGACTACAAAAAAAAAGTTCAAAAAACCGAAAAATTCCGATTTTTCTGAAGGGGTTAGGCCATGGTTTTGGTCATACATTGGCCATTTTAACATTTTTTATTTTAGGACTTATAGGCCAGAAAATGTGTTTTACGATATTCTAGAATAAAAAAACGCCTTTATAGGCTATAAAAACGAAAAGGTTCCAGATGTCGAAAAACTGAGATTTTTCCGAAGGGGTTAGTCCATGGTTTTGGTCAAAAATTGGCCATTTTCCCATTTTCTTATTTTAGTCCTTCTAGGCCGGGAAAATGTCTTTTGCGATATTCTAGAACAAAAAACGCCATTCTAGGTTATAAAAACAAGAAGCTTAAGAAGTCCAAAAAATTGAGGTTTTTCCAAAGGGGTCGGTCCATCGTTTTGGTCAAAAATTGGCCATTTTTCCATTTTTTATATTTTAGACCTTATAGGCCAGGAAAATTTGTTTTACAATATTCTAGAACAAAAACGCCTTTCTAGGCTATAAAAAAAAAAGAAGTGCAAAAAGTTTAAAAATTTCCATTTAGGCCTCATAGGACAGGAATATCCGTTTTTCGATATTATAGACCAAAAAAAATGGTTTTGGTTAAAAGTTGGCCATTTTTCTATTTATTTTTTTCAGCCATATTGGCTAAGGCCATGCGTTTT